GGGGGGGGGGGGGGGGGGTTCCCCATGCTGGGGTTCACAGCAAAAAAAAATCCTCGTGCTGCAAGTGAGCAGCTCCCCTGGGCGTCAGGAGTGACCGGCACAGGGCTGAAACAACCTTTTAAAGACCCTTCTGTCATCTGAGAAACGATTTTTTTAAATCAAACTTTGCCATGAAACGCGGGTGTCGGAGCGCTCCCCGTGCTGCCCCTTGGCAGCGGGCGAGCGATGCCGCTGCGTGTCGAACCTGAGGGGAACCGCGTGTCCCCGAGCGTTGGGTATGGCAGGGCCCTTCTCCCCTTCGCTCTGCGTGTGAGGCTGTGCCGCGCCGTGCCCACACCCAACTGCTGGGCCCGTGTTTGCCGAGGTTTAGGCAACTGAAAAAAAAAATGGCAGCTTGAAACGACCATCCTGCGCCTTCACGGGGAACCTGACGCATCTTCAAAACAGTCAAACAACCAAACTGCAGTGAGTCACGATGTGCGAGCCGTGAGTCACCGCAGGATTAAAATAACTCTTGCACCGTAGCTCTCCCCCTGGACAAACACCGCTGCTCGCGTCGCTGCACGCGGTGGTGTGGGGTCGGACCGAAAGCGCGTCCGGCTGCTGCGCTCCTGTCCCAGCGCGTCCCCGCGCCGTGCTGGCGGAGCAGCAGATGGGGACGTCCTTACGCCCTCCTCCCCAGGCACCGTGGTTGGTGTTTGCAGCATCTTGGTCGCTGGCCATGGAAGTGCGGATGATGTGGCACGTCAATCAAACATGGGATCCAGTTCCCCGGGGGTGTAAGCGGGGAGAACCTCACTGAAAACCCTCTGGCACGGAGAGGCCACCCCAAACCTGGTCCCTGCCAACGGAAAGAGCACAGTGACATTGCCCTAGAACAACAGTCCTAAACAAAACAGGGAAAAAAATGGAATTTGAGATGCATCCTCTATTTCCAAACATGGATGAAGCCATGCAGTCACATTTAAGTCTGGTTTCTTTGCAGGTGCTGCTGCCACACTGTCCCCGTCGAGCCTGGCCTCAAGCTCCTGCTGCGGTGAGCTTCTGGGTGCTGCTCTCCTCCTCCTCCTCCTTCTCTTCATCTTTTTACTCCTCCTCCCCTTCTGCACACCCACCTGGGATTTTCTGCACACCCCTGGGCAGTCGGGGGAGCCGCTGGAGATCCTGTTTCTTTGGCACCATGTGAAGGTTCGTGGCCCCTGGCAGACGCTGATGGGGTCTGCTGGCTGCCCCTGGAGCGGGCGCACTGGTCAGCCACAGCTGAGTGACTGGTTTCACACCAGTGGGGCTCCAGGGACGCCTGACACACTCCACCAGGGAAGGAGCACCCACCCGGGCCCACACCGACGGGAATATTTCCACGCCACGCTCACATCCCCAGCTAAGCGAGGAAGCCCCCGTTTACATCAGCTGTTGGGAGCAGACTATTCCATAAGCAAATGAACAGAAATTAATGAGTCCTCGGCCAGGCAGCGGGGCCAGCGCTGACTCCCAGGGCATGTCACCTTTGCTCCTTCCCCACTATTGAATTTCCAAACAAATCCAGCATTTGCAAAATGATGTGAATGAAACCCAAGGTAGTTAACTACTCCAACACCCCCATTTTGTCCTCAAAAACATTTTGTTGTTCCTCCACACCCTGCACTTGAAAAGGTGGGGAAGGTGCTTCCCTGCTCGCACGAGGATGGAGCAGCTGGAGAATCGTGGCTCAGCCCGGGCGGGAGCTCTGGCCAGGGCAGAGCCTGCGGCGTGCACGGGGCAAGCAGCTCCCGGTGCTGCCTTTCTTTCTGCTTTGAAAACTGCCAAGAAATCGGGTAGCTTCTTTTCACAGTGTTTTTCTTTCTTTGAAAACAGGAGTGGGAGGAGGGGTTGTATGTTGGCTTGTAGTCTTGGAAACCGAAGCCGAGGAATATTGAATGGAAACCCAAACACGAAGCTGCCTATGAACTACGGGCCTGGTGTGGAGACAGGATCTGCAGCAACGCCTCAGCGCCGGCTGCAGCCGCTCCAGAGCATCCTGCGGCCGCGCGACGCGAGGCTGCGGCGCCGAGACCGCGAGACCCGGCGCAGCTCTCGGATGCTGTTCAAAACAGTTCTCAAGTGCCATCTCCATCTGGAGATTCAGCTGGTAAAAAAGGACACATCCATGCCAATAAAAGGAGCTACAACCACAGTAGCTTGAGGCTATTGACATAGTTCTCTCTCTCGGCCAACGCTTCCCCCTGCTCCACAGATCTCAAGCACCTTTTCACTGAAACCATCTGATTGACCAACATAACCAAGTTAAACTCAAAACAAATTTGCGCAAGGTTTTGAGTTCTTTCCCTGTCCGGAAGAAGGGCTTATAAGCCTAAAACTTTGCCTGGTTTTTTTCCAGCATTAGTCAATTAAAAAAAAAATAAAAATCTTTCCCTACAAACCTTGTCCTTGATTATTTTAGACCATCGTAGCTACAGAAGCACGATGACTCTTTGCCAACCCAGCTATTAAACATGGAGCAACTGGTCCTGACTTAGCTCACTATAACTCTTTGATTTTTCGGCATCATTTGATTCAGTCCTGACCAAAAAAATCACTTTGGCTGCTCATTTCCACAACAGAAGTGATTTGCTGGATTGGAGAACTCTTGATATCGCCTCAATTTCAGTTTCTTTCCCGGTAAGTGTCATCCGTTTCCTTATCAGGATGGTTTGTGGCTGAAGGTCTTGGAGATGAAAATCAGGAGCCTGTTCCAGGAAGGGCAGAGCCGGGAGCAGAGCCCCGTGTTTGGAAAGCGCCGCGGCTCAGCGCATTCCACACGGACACGGTCATGCTCCGGCAGCGCCCCGTGCACCGCGGCACAGGGGGAGTCAGCTCTGGTTCGAGCCCTTTCAGAGCAAAGTGATACAGCAAAGGGCACATTCACACAAAGGTATGGTTGTCATTACAATCAGAGCAGCTAAATCTGACGTTCAGGTGTTTTAAGCCAGCTGTGCCTTTAAAAGGAAGTACATTTAGGCATGGGTTTCATGTCTTCATAGTGTTTGTTTTGCATGAATTTAACCCATATCCTTTTTTTTTTTTTTTTAACTTAACTTTCTTTGCATGCTTCTATGCAATTGCATGAGACATGAAGAGCTTGTAAGTGTTCTTACAGCTGTGCAAGTTTTATATTAATGGAGCCCTTACATAATTTTGACATAGATGTGCTATGTACGCGTCTGCAGTTCCTGAGCATGGCTCAGAAAAGACATCGAGAAAGACAGACATCGAGAAAGACAGACATCAAGAAAGACATCAAGAAAGAAAGAAAGACATCAAGAAAGACATCAAGAAAGAAAGACATCAAGAAAGACATCAAGAAAGACAGAAAGAAAGACAGAAAGACAGAAAGACAGAAAGACAGAAAGAAAGAAAGAAAGAAAGAAAGAAAGAAAGAAAGAAAGAAAAAGGAAGGCAGGCCCATTTTGTTTCTGGGGAAAAGTGAAAAATGGAGAATGAAGATCTGTGTTTCCTGGGGGATGGTTGCACTGCTTACCCAGCTACAAAACTGCAGAAAGCAAATGCCTGTTAGTGCAACCGTAAAAAGCAAATGCCTGTTAGTGCAACTGTAATTATCAGTGCTCAAGAAGAATTTGGGCTGTGTCTATGAGGTGCAGTGCTGTGCAGGCAGGGACCTCCAGTGCCACCGGCCACCCCCTGAGTCCAGGGCATGGCTCCATGGGTGGCTCTGGTAGCCCCTTGCTTGCCTTGGGGGATTTTGCTCCCCCTTTCCCAACCCACACCCCAGCCTGCAGCATGGAAATGGCAGGCTCCATCCCTTTATCTCAGGAGGAGCCGAGGTGAGCCCCAGAGCCAGTCCTGCTCGCCCAGCCCATGATGCTCTTTCATGGGCTCCGTCCCGTGGCTCACTCCCATGGGTACCCCAACTGCTTTTTGGGCCTTGAGTCACCTCAGGACTTTTCTTTCCATCAGTCACACAGAGCCCACAATAAACGTGCTGCTTTCCCATGTTTCACAGCAGTTCAGCTTGCCTCTGCTCCCCGCAAGGCTGGCTCTTACCTGCTGGACATGAGCAACGCTTCATCCACGTCCCGTCCCGGGGACATTTTTACACCACTGAGCTGTCTGCCCCACGGGTACAGCTGGTAATGAATTTCCTCCCTTTGCAGGTATTTGCTGTCCAGGCATGAGTCACCCCAAAAGCTGGCTCCATGCAATGATCCTCCAGTGATTTCCTGCCAAAATCCCACCTCTGCCCCAGCCCTGCGCTGGCTCCTGCAAAAACTCTGCAGCCTTGCAGCTTTCCTCCCGTTTTACTTCGGGCAGAGCTCTGCTCCATCGTGTCCTTTCTCCGGGGTATTTATTCAGCCGGCGTGGATGCTTCTGCTCCCCTGCAGCTCATGCTGCTTCGGTGTGATTTGACCTGCCACCTGCAGCGACATCGGGCTCCCGCCACCACCGAAATCCTGCCTGTGCACTGGATTTGAGGAAAATCGGTGTAACTGTTCCTGGTAGAGTGACACTAGAGAAAAGCACAGAGGTGTCAGGTCATTCACTCTCTGCTGGATGTATCTCTCAGCCTGCACACACACACATTTTACTTCCCTCGGTGCAGACACAGACACATAAATACTCTCTCTCACACAGACATACTCGCATCTTCTCTCCCACACACTTTCTCTCTTACCCCAGCTCTCACCCACACGCGGTTTTACTCGTTTTCCCCCACCTTCTCTGTCTCTCGCACACAAGGAAAACCCTCTTAATTATTTTTAAGGAATAAAAGCTCTACGTGGAAAAGGATTTTGCACAAAATACTAACAGCGAAGCAAAGAGGCGGCCAAGCCGCCCTGGGAAGTCAATGCCCAGTGTGATAAAAGCAGCTCGTTAAACCCCCCCTGGAAAAGCAGCTCCCGGCCAGCGAGGGCTGGGGCAAGCTCACGGGTGCGTGGAGCAGCTCTGAGTCCCCAGGCATCCAGGCAGAGCCGACCACTGTCTTAATCTGCTGTTAATTCTTGTCAGATCCGCTGCTGCCTCCCTCCCACTTGGCTCTGGCTGCAGACACCTGGGGTCAGGCTTGGACAACCCTTTCTTTAATTTTCCAGGTCAAAACGCCACATATCGGGTGCTCCACCTTCCGTACAAACCCTGACTTCTGTTACAGCACTGACCTGAGCAGAGGTGCATTCCCCAGATTTCTCCACACCTCCCTGAGCGCTGGCTGGCAGCAGCGTCGGCTCCGGGGGACAGGGGCTGGTTATTTGGTGGGTGCTGCTACCGCAGGGATCAGTGGGAGCTGCAGCTCTGCTCAGTTGTTCTACAGCAAACAGTTATCATCACATCCCCGAGTGGCTCAAGTCCCTATTTTACAGCAAAAATAACACACAACCCTTTTTTTTTTTTTTTTTTAAGTTAGCGAGCTTTATTTAGGAAATAAATAAAATTATAAGAAAATACAAATGATTGTAATAAATACAGCACTTGACAAAATTACACAGCCACAAACAGCATAATATTTTGAGGCATATTACTCCAGTGTGATTACAGGGGCTGGCACATTACTGGAAAAATAATTTTCTGACCCTAAAAGAACGTTTTAAACACAGGAGAAAAAGACAGAGACTCTGTGTGTGTGTGACGGCAAAGAATATCCAGTTCCTTCCCAAACTTTGATACTTGTTTATGGGGTGTTTTTTTTTGAAAGTTGATACTTCAATCACAGTTAATTATTTTAAAGGATGCTGTTGAGACAGAAATGAAGAGATTTGAAAACATCTCTTCCTACTCCAGCAGCCGGGCTGGAGGTTAGGCACAGCCCATGGCATTTCACCAGCTCTGCTAGGCGGCCGCAGTTTCCACGATTTGCAAAATTTAAGTGGACAAACAAGTTTCTCCTTTCCTTCCTCATGCAGTGGGCACAATATTGTCTGTCGGCTTTGTCAATTCAACTGAGACACAGGAAATATTGCAAAGGAAAAAATGAATTAAGTAATTGCATAAAGGCCCTTCACCGATGTGCACGGCCTTGCCTCTGCAAGACCAGGCCCCGGGTTTGTAGCCGGCCCCATGGTCCCACAGCACGGCCAGTATTGGAAAAACACGCCGTGCTGTGGCACGAGTTCACTGGAAGTTCAGAAACTGCTGTACCAAACCCCAGCTCAGCCCCACTGATTCTGTCAGACCGTTGTTAAACAGGGAATGAAAAGGGTGAGGTTTGCTGCTTTTTGGGAATAAGGTGTAAGCAGTTGAATTTTGCACACAGCCAGACATCTCCAAGCTTGGCTTGTTTATTAAAAAAAAATAATTATTCATTCCTTACCTCTATTTAAAAAAAGACAAAAACATTTCTAGTAGTTACTTCTATTTTAGCATGTGAAAGACTTAAATATCAGAGCACATAAAAAGAATTAAGCAATAAAAGAAAAAATAAATCAATACTTTCTGGTAAGTCACTTGCCTTGAAGGTTCAAGTGACTGAACACTTTAAAACAAAGCTCCTGAGGGGTCTTCACCACTGCTGGGAGCAGCAGCTCTGGGCTTCCCGGGGGTTAACAACCCTCAGAGCTCCTGAAATGGGAAAGTGAAAGGGCTCTTTTGGAAGTAGAGAGGTAATTATCCCGAGGCACAGTGTAAGCTGGTCACCGATTGCTGACGCAACAGAACATCTCTTTCCAGAGCACATAAATATAGGTCTAAAATAAATAGCAAGAAACAAATCATCCAGTACAAGGAACGCAAGCCACAAATGGTAGCCACAACTCACTGCTTCCAAGGTCATCTGTAAGCACAGAGACACCCGATCGGTGCCGGGGGGAAGGAATCTGCCCTCATCCCTGGTGGGGAGCAGCCAGAGGCCCCTCGGGGCTGCAAAGGCAGGGGAAGCTCAGCTACACCCCACAAAAATCTTGTAAACAAATGAAATTCAGCGTGTGATTTACCAGACCCCCATATTTCAAGACTTACTAATTTGTTTCTATAATGCATTTAAGGAAAAGTGTGTCTTCTTTCACATAGGCGTATTTAGGCGACTGTAATTTGGACAAAGGGAGGAACATGGGGCAGCCACTTGCAACATTCATGTCATTCACTGGTCTCTGAAACGAAGCAGAAGTCAAGTCTGGGCGAAACGCATCAATAATATGTTCCCTGTTGTTTTGGTCAAGCAACATAAACGTAACCTGAAAAACAGAACGTGGCAACACCGAGTTATTGAACTGAAAAAATAAACCAGGAAATATCAGAGAGAAGCACAAACACGCTGCAAAAGCAGCTGGATGCTCTATCAATAATTAAATACAAATTGGAATGAATGTTTCGCAACCTGCAAGGTCAGTTAATGTGAACAAGAGAGACTGTAATGGTTCCCACATGAAGCGTTTAAACTTTGCCACCTGTAAAATAAAATTAAATAAAATAAAGCAGGGAATTATTTCTTGGTAGAGAATTGCACAGTCCAAAGACTTTTTTCCTCTCTCTCCTGACAAGTTAAACAAACCCCAAGTTTGGTTACAGTCATTACATTCATTCTGTTATTGTGGTTTGGAATCAAAAGAAACAGCTCAGTTGCCTGTACGCAAATATGTAAAAGACACAGCCTAAATATCAGTATAGAATCTCCCCATCTCATTACCACATTTATTAACTCACTGTTCTTTAGCTTTAAATGAAATGTATGTAATAATGGTGAAATGTATGTAATCATTTTTTAATACAGTGAGGATTGGGGATTTTGATCTCCATTATTTTTGGCTGCTAAATGGTAGTAAGGCTATTTATATGAAAGGCTCACAGAATTATTACCACGTGAAGGCAAGTGCTACAGCAGAGATCAGAACTCTGTGCACACTTTCACTGCTTTTCTAATCATTGTTGCCATTATCAGATCGCACTTACAAAATGAGAAAAAAATAAGATCCGGATCACATCAGACATCTATGGCACGTTGGTGAGTAGAACTCTAACCTCACCTTTCCGACACCTGTGCTTCAGGCGGCAAATCACAGTTCCTTCATAAACTGATACTATTTACGTATAGCCAGGAAAAATGTGTCTCTGGCTTTAGCCCAGGTGGATACAGGTTGGGATATATCAAACACCAGAATTCTGGTGTCTGAAAATCCTACAAGGCAAAGTATGGAGTCTCAGTAGGAGCAGCCTTCCCAGAGACAAATTATTACCTAAGATTACAGCGTGGCTAGCAGCCATCGGAGAGGAAAACGGGAAAGCGCTCCAAATTCCACTAAACTCCTGAGAAAAAGTGCCCTTGTGTTCACTGGGAGAAGCAGTGGGTTTGTGCTAGGATCGGGTATGAAAAGGTGGCCCTTCTTACCTTGTGTCTGAAAGGCCACGGCAGCAAAGCATCGTAGTCTCCCTTCATGACAACAAAGAAGAGGGACACGTGGGTTCCTTTTCCTGTCCCATCCCCGTTCAGATAAACCCTCAGACAGACCTTGTAGCCATACTTTGCCGTGTAGAAAGCTGAAAATCAGAACTCTTCATTAGTGAAGCCTCCTTTGAAAAATAAGACATAATGAGCGCTCTGGCGTATGGGAGAAGACAGCGTATGACATGTTTTGCTATCACAGAGATGAGAACAGACAAATCAGTACACCCTGGAGATTACAAGCAATGAAAATCCAGCGGTTGGAATCCTTTTAGTGCCTCATGCCTTGGTGAAAATTACTTGTTATTAGCCACACAAGCGTTATTTTACCTAAACAAATTACTTTTCACAAGGGCAATAACTGCTGCGGAAAGCCAGTCGGTACTGTCAGGCACCAAGCTGCGGGATCCAGCAGATGTTCATGCACGGAGCTGCAGCCGAGGGGAAAGTGCTAAATGAAAGCCCAGAACAGAACGCAACTCTGGAAGAGCACATCACGGCTGCCCTGAATTACAGGCAGGAGAGCACGAAGGCTTTGCAGAAACAGCGTCTTAGCTTAAGGAGCTATTTTAAACACGAGCAGAAAGAAGCACCGTTCTAGAGAAATCAGTGGGTTTTCTAAAGGACTGGGTTTTCCTAACACACATATACGCCATGTGTTTTACCCGGTGAATACAAACTGACTGTTCTTCCAGTCACAGAGTCTTGTAACTTCCTGCCAACATCTGTTATTTTCCACAGAAAGACCCCATCATAGGAAGCTTGCTCAGAGAACAGAAGACTCTTATGAAGACTGCTCAGGCCTGCATCCTTCTGCGTCAGGCACCGGTGCAACTCTGCAATCTAGAAAAAGCAAATCAGTTCTCAATCAACCCCCCTCTCCAGGCTGCTGTGCTGCAGAAGAAGCAGAATCGTTCTGGAGACCTCATGTTCTGCAGGATCTCCTTTGATTTCTTTTGAAGTGACAGTTAAGTGTCAACACAGAAGGCAAACAACTGGATAGATGGCTGTTTGGTCCTCTGGGCATAATGCTGCTTTAAGAGGATCAAACGACTGTCTTGCTTGCTCACGGTCTGATCATGGCGAATTCGGAACATTCAAAACTCTCAGTACTATCTAGGTACCGAATTCAAATTCCTGTGTCCATCCCGGTCCTGATCTCTACACCACCTCTCTCTGACATGTGTTAAATATCTGTCATCAATAGAACAAGCACACAGACAATGCTTATCGTAACTATTTACCTTCAGTTCAAGGCCTCGTATTATATTTTGATCGAGTTCACTCTGTCTCCGAAAGGCCGTGATTTCCAAGTTAGAGGTCTCCACCTCTTTATTGAGCACTGACACAATATTCTCAAATACATGTAGCTTATTTTCTAGCTCAGAAATCACTTTCTCCCTCACAAGTTGTTGCAGAACAGATTCATCTTCAGAAACAGAAGATCCAGGAAAACAGTCTACTTCCAGATCCCCACTGATTTCCAGCCCCCCTGGGATCTGCAGATCAGAGATGCTTTTTCCTGCACCATTCACATTCAGCTCTGAGTGTGGGATGGAACCATTTGCAGCTTTGGCAGCAGTGCACAAGCTTGCCTTCAGTTGCTTTATGTGCTGCAGCAAAAGCAGCATGTGGGCCCCAACTGCAGCTTTTTCATGCTCCTGTATCTTCTCTTTACTTCCCTGTAAGAAGATGACATCGTCAATACACTCGGTACAACCACCATAAGTGGCCTGGGGCCAGACCAAGCAATGATCCCTTTAACTTCTTGGGAGAGACAGAAGTGGAAGAACTGCAAGATACACGTCCAGCCACACAGCAGCCGACTCTGAGAGGAGATGCGGAGAGAGGAAAACCAGCAAGCCCTCCAGTGATCAGTTTAGGATATGTGTTCACATGTGTACACATACTACATCAAAAGAAAACAATTGTCTATAAATTCTGTATTAAGCAGGATGCCAGGCAGAGTCCCAGCAAGATTCTCAAATAAGCCAATATTTAATACATATACTGTGCACAAGAGATGAGGAAAGATAACAAATGCAAACTAAATGCAAAGAACCGTTACTGTTTTAAGAGGCTGAAAGGAATATCTGAAACAGAGTAGAACAGTGGATCTGATAAACCAGCAGAATTGTAATAAACATCTATTTTTACCTGAAGTGAATGCACAGTGCAGGATCCATCACTGGATGAACTGCACCTTACACAGTGTAACCACGGCAGTCCCAACATCACCTCTGCTGGGCTACTAAAAGTGGGTAGACTTTCTCTCTTTTCTTAAAGATGGGTTTAAATCAAGGCCTACTACCTTGAATACAAAGGCTGCCTAGACCAAAGACACAGTGCTGAGCTCCACAACATCTGACAGCGTCCTGCAGGCAGCTGTTTCACTCACCCTGAAGGAACAGCCGACTTCAGAAAAGCGACATCCATCCTTGCTGATTAAGGGTGTAGAGTGGTTCTGCTGAAAAAAAAAAAAAAAAAAAAAAAAAAAAAAAAAAAAAAAAAAAAGAATAAAATACCAATTGAAACAGATTCTTTTATTTACCTACAAACAACTAGGCTGCAGTCCCAGCAGCTATAAATCAGGTTAGTTCAAGGCATTACCGCAGCTTAGGGTGTCCAGCTTTAAAAATTTATTGGTAAATCAATCAAGAGTGTGGTTGATTGCAAGCTTCTTGCACGCAGCCTGGTCGTTAAGTGTCCATCTAAGACTCCATAATGATGTAACATAATTTAACAAACCACAGCGATCCCCTAGTGACAACTTCTTATAAATAAGATGCCAACAAGCCAACCTTCCTCCCGCTCTTCCAGAACACACAGAGCAGCTGTGTCGTACAGCACGTCCTGGGAATGAACGGATCTATCGGGCCCAAACCTCTGACTGACATTCAGACTTCGTCCCCTTCACAGCCAAAAGCATGTCTCTTCAAATATGCTGTTATACAGCACATTTTTCTTTTGTTCCTGTGGGTCTTTCTGAGTATTTGAAAGGAAAAAAACCATTTCCCCATTTTTGTAAGATTAATTGAGAATTAATTTAATAAGGTCAGCTGTGGGAGCAGGGAAGAGAAGGTTGTCAGCAGAGCTATGTTGGGATGTAAAAAGTGCCCAGATACACCACTGTATCTGAAGATGTTCTCAGACATTCATTTAATCTATATGAACAAGTGATGCTTTTATTAATTTAAATAAAGCTGTATGGCATTCACTCATCTTTTACCTACCTTCTCCTTTGATGGTGTGTCTGTTTGCACATGGTTTTGTTCCTTACATAAATTGCCTTCACATGAATGTTCCTGTCATTACAAGAAGAATTCAGAACATTACTAAAATCATCATGCATCTTTACATGGGAGTCTTTGAAACAAAGCTTGTGTTTGGGAATGCTATTCCCATTGTTCAGAAACTTGGGGATTTGGGAGGCTCTTCTACAAGAAATTCTGTATTCTGGCAGGAAAAGGTTACAAGTTTCTTCCTTTCTTCCTGGAAGGAAGATTTAAGGAGGAGTAGAGGAAGGAAGGGTAACTTCCCCAGGAGCACTACAAGCTCCACAACACATGGTACAAAATCCTGTACCCCTGTCCAGAGAGTGCCTGCTCTGCACCTCACTACGCAACAGGCTGCGGAGTTCTCTGGCTTCTTTTTAGAGGAAATAACGTTCAGAAATTTGGGAGTAAAGCACATCTGCTAAAAGCGGGTGCTGCTGTCCCCTGTACAAGGAATGGCAGACTCAGGAGGTTTCTCAAGCTGATTACTCCTCTGCTCAGCCTAGCAGGCGCGTTCAGCGACAGATCTCCAGATGCAATACCTGTTAAGTGGAAGTACAAAGCGGGATTTTTCGCTTAGGGGGCCCAGAGCTTTTGGAAACTACTTACAGATGCTTTGCAAGGTCACCGTGGGAAATCTGATACAAGACTGGCAACGTGCACATCTTGCCAGTTCAACCCGTAGTTATGTGCATAGGTACACACACAGATACATGCAATGACATGCAGATGGACTACAGAACAGAAAGCAAACATACAGGAAATCCAGACATAAACCCTTCTTGCATTGACTTCATATAGTTTGCTTAATGTGCAGACCCTTCTTGCATCCTTCTTATTAATATTTTGAAGGCTGGAATCCAAATTTTCCATCATGATGTGCTAATGCAAAATGCATTACCACTAACACGAGACTTCCTGCCATTTCTGGCTCCGAGAAGGGTAAAGTAATCCTCCTGCCACTCGTTCATACAACTGTAATACGTGTATGCAACTGTCGGCTTTCAATTCATACTGTTCAGGGGGACTGTCTTTAATCTTTATGAACGCCTTTGCACGCCAGTACATTTCCCATAGCAGTCTAGAAATTTTTTGATAAAGCCATTCCAGCAACCTTCAAGTCTCCCCTGCAAAGAGTCCTGAGGTTTCTCTTTCGATCCTCAGAAATACAGCCATAGGTTTTTCTCACTCTCTAACTCATTTTTTAATAATCTGTGTCTTAGCTATTGCACAAAGTATGCCTTTATTTTCCTCCTTTCTGCTATTTGACTCCTTCAGGTCACTGATTTCTTGAGAGGGAGAGGGGCTGGTGAGAAGTTTCTTTAAAATATGGAAATGCAAAAATCACAAGACCAATAGCTGGCTAAGATGGAGACAGTGAGAACAGTGCCCAAACTTACAATTTGCTCCCACAGGACTGTAGATACAAGGAATACACACAAATAATTAAAATTCTTATGCCACGTAACTGCAAATTTAATAAATCCCATCATGCAACCAGCAAAATTCCAATTTCACAAACACTAACTAAGGCAGGCAGAGAAAAATCAACATCTCAGGGTCAATCCCCTGCTTGGTTGCCAAGGTTTCCTAACAAAAAAAAATTAATTAGATGATAGCTAACCGGAATGAGTGGGAGGAAAACAGTTCTTTGTTGCAGGAAAATGAAGCCCTCTGAGGTGGATCTGCGGTATCACAAACCTCTGGAAAGAGAAAGGTGCTCAGGGAACACTCATGCAGCTCAAGTTTCCTCCTCCAGCCTGTCTACTGCATTTACAGAAGGCTGAAAGGGATTAAGTGTTGCCACCTTCTGGTATTTACTGTCTCTCTGAAACGTACACTGGATTTAGCATTGGTAAAATGTGCCTGCGTCCAGATCTTCTCTCCCTCTGAAGAGTAAGAGACGAAGAGCACACACAGAAGCTTCCCAAGAAGCATGTTTTACCAAGAGCACTTTATTCTTATCCCAGAGGGACTGTTACCCCCATGCTGAGTAAATCCTAGAGCTCAGTATTTGGAAAGGCAGAAATATTGTGACAGTTAGGGCATGCAGAGCTGTCCGCTGATATTTATGTGAGGCTACATTTTTGAGATATTCACCCTCCTGCCACGTAGGTCTTATATCACTATGTCCCCATTCCAGGGCAAAACTTCAAGGCTGACAATTATTCTCTTTAAATCATCTGGAGGGAAAAGAATTCATTATGTTACACCCCAAAAGAGCGTTGCTCCAGCACCATTTTCTGTGCTAACAGAGCCCACAAGATCAGAAATGAGGTGGGGTTGGAATGAGAACGTTTTCAGAGTTTTCAAATCAAAACATACAAAGCAGTGTTAGCAGACATGGGGCATCTCTCATTCATGCTGCTATTGCTTTGCTCCAGGAGTTTTTTAATTACAAAACCTCCTAAACAACAGAGGATGCACTTCCCTCACAAGGCTGAGAAGTGTGCCACCGAAGCTGTATCTTCGACAATCTCTTCATGTAAGAACAGATCATTTCCTTGACAATCTCTTCATATTAGATCATTTTCTATCACTTTTAATGTGCCCCACCACACTATTTCCTCCTTCAGCAGCTCAGAGGAGTTTCTGTTAGTTCACTTTATGCCCTCAGACCACTCCCAGAATTTGTATGGTGCTGCATCTACAAAAATGGGTAAAAATAAAGAGACCCTCTTATTTAAGTTAAAAATCTGCAAGTCAGTAACATAACGTTGCCCTACTATCATAACTCTGAGCATCAACTGAGAAAATCATTACTTTCAGGAAAAAATGGGATAGGTTCAGTAACACAAACATAGAAGTTTGATGATCAACTACATTCTTGTGTAAAAAAAAGTTGTTTTAAAGAGGATTTGGAGCAAATGCTGGGGACAGACTAGTGTTATCCTGTATACATATAGGGAATATACACATATATTTTGCAAGTCCCTGTCACAACAGTGGGAAACACAACTGAAACATAAAAAATATAAATACGCTTAAATAGTTACTGAGGAGTTTCTGGCAGATTCAGAGCATGCTTTTCCTGGTCTATATGGACATGGCTGCCAATCTGGAGAATTATACCTCACCTTATCTAAGAGAAATAGTATCTGACAAAAGCCTGCCTTACGGATTTGTGGGCAGTTTTAGTTTGAATAAAAGTCCAGCCACTTTCAAGACCTCTTCCCTGTCACTGTCTGTGTTCTTCTGCTTCTGACCTACCTCACGCTGGGGCACGAGCTTTGAGACAGGAGCTAAAAAACAGGCTGCCCAAGCCCTGGATGAGCACACAGATATTTCCCTCTCTGTTGTAGCTCAAAAGCTACACAAGCAGCTCAAATACAGCTCATTTTTCCCTCCAACACATGCATGGAAAAATTAGCAGACTCAGGAAAATTAAATATTCTCCAAGTGCACTAGCAGTCATGAAATCAGGATGAAAAATGTCACAACAGATTATTCAAGCCATTAATATAAAGCCCTCGTCTGAAAGAGAGAAATGTTCTTACTTGGTATTCACTACTGGATAAGCTCCGCTTACACTTCTGACACATTGTCACATTATTAACACATCCATTTTCCAAATGATCCGCAAGTTTCTTTCTCATCACCATGTGTCCACAACCAGTGTGACAAGGAATTAAAGCATATTCACATAAACTCTGATGCTCCTGGAAGTAAAAAGTTATAAACCAAAATGTAAACTGCAGACACAAACATCTATAGTCTCCATTCCGCCAGCCTAGACCTTTGCATTTCTTCTAAACTTGGGTAAAGTCCCACTCCACGTTACTGAGATTATGGTGAAAAAATTCACCAACTTCGCTGGGGCTTTTTTGTTAATTCTTAACTTTAAAAAAAAAAAAGCAGCAAACAAAATGTTGATAAATTCAAACATGGGGTATCCCTTGAACTGTGTCTCTCTAGTGCTTTTGTTTGAATATAACATGATCCCGGTCCCAGCTTTTTTCTTTGTATTAGAGGTTCCCCAACTTTTAGCATGGGGATTTTTGGGGTTGTGTTTTTTGTTTTTTATGGGGTTTTGGGGGGGGTGGTGGGGTGTTGAGCACTGAGACCATCCTGCTCTAAGTAGTAGGATGAATATGGTTATCTGCTGACAAATCTGCATAGCACAGAAGAATGGACATCTGACACCTTCCATGCAACAATTAGGACACAACCTTTTCCTGCGTTTGAACTGATTTTTAAAAGTGTCTTTTCACTATTTGAATTCTCTCATCTCAACAAGGAAAAACATCAGCATTACTTCTTTCATAACTACATCCAACAGGTCTACTTTCCGATTCTTAAAAACACAGTATTTCAATAAAAACCATTTACTCTGACCTCTTTTACCGAAGCTTCTGTAGGCCCTGTGTCACAACCGATTTTGTCTTTAAAGGGAGATGGCTGTCCCCTACAGAACAGCCTCAGAAATGCCAATTTCAATCACACGCCCAACTCTCAAATTAATTTTGCCACGTATTCATGCTGAGAGGGGCTCCAGTTCTCCAAACTATGAAGCTAAGCAAACTGGGTAGATTTTTTTCTTAAAGAGGAAAACACTCAAATAGAAAATTTGTGTAAAATTATCAAAGAAAAGGCAGCAGCACCTCAGATGCTTATCAGATACGCAGTGGTACATGGCACAGGGCAGAGTGCCTGTTATAGATGCAGAAAGACCCTCTGTTCCTGCACCAGGGGACCAAAGGAACTGCTTTAGTATCAGAATTATCTGTATTTTTTTCACAGTTCTAATGCGCATGGCAGATTCACAAATCTTCCCCATTTCCCAGGGCATTTCATATCAGTCTGAAAAGAATGATGAACACATCCAACCAATAGGAGTCATTTATGCGGGAGGAAATTATTTCTCTTATAAAAACATACTAAGGATATTGCCCATAACAATATCCTGGAGACTGGAGTATTCTGGTCTGGTCTGTCAAAACCTGCCAGTAGCATCCTTGCATTTAAATAATAAGTAAACCCACTGGAAAAAAAATAAATCACAGTTGATGTAAATTTGTGTAACATTAATTTCACAATCATTCAGGATATTCTGGATTTGGTTAAAGCCCTACTAAAGTTACTGGCAAGTTTTTAGATACTCTGTTGGTATAAATCATGATACCTTCACTGATTCTAATGATGTTGCATTAATTTCTGTTTGCTGAGAACCTAGTTTCATTGTCTTTCTGTCCTCATTCAAGTAAGAGCGCATGTTAATTTAAATAAACTGCCTTTAAACATACTTCAAAATTTTTCATGATACCAGACCAACTGCATCCAAGGGTCGCACAGTGTACTTTGAGTTCAGAAATCTCTTTATTAATGGCAGCATCACCAAAAGCCTGGAAAGTAAACACATTAAGGAAAAAAAACACTGGTCAGAAAGTACTCCAGCACACATTTCTGACATAGGAATAAGGTGATTGTGTCAAAATTTCAGATAAATCCCTTTTTTTTTTTAAATTTACTGTACTGCTGCAAGACTCTCTAACCTAGCAAGTTAATCTTAGTGTAGTAGAAGCCCAAATAATTATTAAATCATTTCTTTCTTGTGGTTCAAAAAGAAACTATCTGATGTGATATAAATTTACTGAAAATATGCCTAGCCAACTACAGCTATTATTTTAAGTTTCTTTTCACAGAAGCCTGAAATATGTCACATGCAGTACATGTGCTGACAGGACCCCAACTATAGAGTGCTGCCATGTGCCACTCTTAATGAATGCATTTCATTATTGGGGTCATTAACACCTCCTAAACGTGCTGAAGAGAGGACTTGAGACTGTTTTGCAGTGAGAGTACATTTCTCAGACCATGGCTGTTTCCATTTAGTATGGCACTGTGTACTAAAGAAATGTAAACCATATGTGAGTGGGGTTTTCTTTTTTTTGCACTACGTAGATTTTTTTGGTGATGTTAACCATGAAAAATTGTACAATTATTATGTAAATTATGAAACACTACACACTTTTAATATTACATCTTGCACAATCAAAATAGGTACACTGACACCAAAACAATCCCTGCTACAGGTTTTTAGATACTCTGTTGGTAAGTACACAATACAGAGGACTGCAGATTTCCTGTGTAACAACACAGAGCAAGGCAAGAACTGGGGGGGGGGCTTTAAAAATAGAGGGAGGAAAGTATTTACAAATGATGTGCACATTTCAATAAAGTTACTGAAATCCTACAAAACGAGCTAAAAAAAAGAGCTAACAAAATTATGAGAATCAACATTCCTGATTGATTTTTTTTTTAATCTGGATACAAGATGTTTGTACTTACCTACCTTTGCCATATTAAATCACACAAGAAAGCACAGCTGAATGGTGACCATGAGATATATTTCTATATACAGAGTCTCACAGAAACTCATTTCCTAATCAAAACCTGCAAGCAAAGTCCAGAACTTTGCAGACAAGTTGCAAACAACTTCACAAACAAGGAATTTAAAAGTAATCATGCAGGTTGTACAAAACCATGTAAGGCTCCATCTGCATATATGGAAGAGTTTAAGTAATAAGTTAGCAATCAATGTACAATTAGTGAAAGCATACCAGCTCCACCTTCTAAAACGTTTTAGTCTAATTTGTGAGCAAAATCAAAGAGAAGAAATTCAAGTTATCAAGCGCATGGGGACTTTTCCCCCCTGTGTCATAAGAGAAAAACTCAAGGAATTTCCTGACATTACAAAATAGATCATTTAAAATATATTTAACTACAGGGACAGTCCCAGCAGTGCATGGGTTTCTTACTGCTATGTGCATGCCCTGTGCTTTTTGTTTCACATTTGCAGTTGCAAAATCATTATGGACACTACTCAGGTAAAAAACAAGGCAGGAGATCCTCATCTCTTCTTTTATCTGCACTGGTCACTGCTTCAAAATACTCACCTGAACCTCTGTCCTCTTATCTGGGAACTTGAGTTTGCACAGAACTTCTTTAGGGACCTGAGTCAGACCCTCATACAGTAAATGAGATGACTCTCACTGACATTAAAAGTGCTCTGGGTCAACCAGAAGGAAACAGAGAATATTTCTCTGATTTGATATACTGTAGTTGCATATCTCCTCTCTTTCATTTTAGCTATTTCAAAGGAAATGTTGGTGCAGGAGCTGCTGATGTTGATCACGGGTGGCTGTCGTGGCGCCCAGACCTGCCAGGACCCGTATGTCCCAGGGCTGGCTGGGACACAAGTGGAGGTCCCCTGCGACGAGCTGTCCAAAAGCCACTGCCAGATGCACTCTGCTTGGCCCTCTGACCCTCACAACATGTATCTTACGGCTTCTAGTTATGGGAGGACTCTGCTCTGCAGCTCATGTGTCAGGAATCTCAGTTAGCAACAAGTTTAATGAACAGATCAACCTGAACCAAAGCTATCCAGGATAAATCCAGCGGGTCTTTTTCTCTCCAGCTAAGGCTGGCCTTCTGCAGCTGAACCAGGACCTTCAGTCATTCTAACGCAGCCAGAGAGGGGAGAGCGACAAAGTGATCTGTGTTCAGTTCAGAGCAGAGAACTGTCCCCTGAGCCAGGCCCATGAATGACAGCAGACAGGGTGTGAGCAGAGGCTTGGGAGGATGCTCCCACTCTTCTCATTTCAGTGACAGATGCAGATGCTTAGTAACTGATACTGATGAGCAGCACCATGGTAAGGCTTGAAGTGTATGTTGCATAGGAAAGGATCATAAATGAAAAGTTTAACAGGGAAGGGATGGGAGTTACCACAGGAATCGCTCATGAGATAAGCTAAGGCAAATACACATCCTGATAGGGCTTTTCTTTTCCTTGTGTAGGTATCTTATTTAACATATAAACACATAAACAGTGTAGGAAAATAACATTAAGCAAAACCACAGCAAAAGATAAATCAGAGCTTATCAGGAATAGATATAAAGAATAAACCTGCTCAATGATCTTCATTATTCGTGCTGTTTACAAACTCTGACCATTGTTGTAAGTTGATCTATACAGGCAGATCCTTACGCCTTTGTGGTGATTGACTTCATCTGGACTCTCAACAGGCAGAACAATCTACCCAGGCAGATCAGCTTGCAAGCGTGGGGCCCTATTTACGACAACCCACCCACAGATTTTGCAGAAAGTCCCAGCAGACATAGTGAGAATCCCACAGCAGAGAAATGCCAGGGTTATAAGAGAACTGACAGTCAGCATAGAGCAAGAAGTTCATGAGGGTTTAGCTGTACCTATCTGTGGTTACATGATGCATGAAATTCTGTTACTGGGAAATTCATTGCAGAATTGAGGATTTTTTTCTGAGATATTACCAAGTTCAGCATTAACTGCAGATTCATTATTTTGCTGCAGCCATTTCTTAAACTTCATCTTTTACTTCACTGCCAGCTGCCTACTGGGTTTCATTTTTCCCTAAAAAATTCAGACAGAATGTGTATCTCCCGGTATTCCTGCACGTAATCAGAAAGGAGAGAAAAAGACAAGCTGGAACTGAGCCCTATGGCCCAGTTTGTACTCAGGATATAGAACAGTGCAGCGGTCTGCCTGGAAAATCACACAACAGCAAAAAGAGATCTGCACCGTGAAATTACAGATGAAACATCTGCCAGCACATAGTTTTTATTAATTATTATGTTCAGCTCTCTGTTTTCCACTATTTCCTCCAGATACCCTGGCTGCCAAAATACTTTCTAGGCAATACAGCCAACTAGCTGACACTCTAGCTTTTTTTCTTAGGGATGCTCCACCTGTAATTTAGGTAACATGTTTGAAGGGTACAGGGAACCATGAGATTGGAAAATCCACTAGGATCCTTACTAAGGATAGTAAGTAACAGCTAAGACATATTATTGCAAGTAGGAAAGCACCGGTTACTTTGAGACAATAAAAAGTTAATTATGTAGAAGGGATTTTATGTTGCAGAATCTGATGGACTTGGAAAGTCCTAAGCCTGCCACAATACCTTTTCAAATAAAAAAATGTGTGAAATCCAAATGACTAAAGCATAAGTTGTGTAACTATCAGTTGCTATCACATTTTATACTACTCCCTCCTATAGTCCAATGATGATTAGAGTAACCCAGAGTGACACACGATAAATTAATGAACTGTGAACTACAACTTACCCTTTCTTCTGCCAACAGGCTTCCCTCACTTAAAGTGCTTGGATCTTCCTCTTTACATTTCTGGCAAATCACATTTTTATTGTTTCTGGAACAAAGAAAGAAGAACGAAATAATTATCAGTTGGTGTACTGTAGTTTAGGAAGCCTTTGGATAGACACCGACATAAATAAAAACTGGAAATTGTAGTTTCCAGAGTCCATAGTCCTTGTTCATTAAAGGGCCAATTCTTGAATGCGGTGACATCAAAAAAAACCCTGCTCCGTTCTATTCCTCAAGACTAGAACTGGGCTCGTAATCTTATGTGTATTTCACCAAAATCAGAGCAGCCTGGATCATAAATAAAGATAGTAACATATTTATCTCGTGAATTATGCGAAGACACCATGTAGGAAAGGTAACATGAAAACTAGAATCTTTCAAAACACAGAAATACCCCATTTTCCCCAGAAAAAAATACATATAGACTTCAAGACATAGTAGAACCGGTGTAGAATTGAGTTCTAGAGTTAACACCCTACAGCAGCTAAAAAAGGTTTGGATCTACTCTCAAAATATTTAGCATAAAGTTTTATATAGGAAAAGCGAAAAATAAAACTTTACAAGAAATGTATTTCATTGCCAAGGCTATTTAGCATCCAAGCAAATAATGAACTAACAGAGACTGAGAAGCTCATCAGAAAAGCATCTATCCACCCAGAGCATAACTGATTTCAAAGTGTACTAATTAGCTTATCAGTTTCCCGTTATGTGCTGTAAGACTCTAGCGGGAAGACACTAGAATTCCAGTTATGTTCTGTTGACAGTTTTCTGAATTTACGGTTTATGCTGTTTCATTAAGGGGCTTTTTTTCTAGACTTACAGTAATGGATTTATGTAAATTGGTCAAATACATTAATTTCAACACATTTTTATGTTATTATACGTTGATCTTCAGACCACATGTGGCTAGTGCCTTAACTCAGCTTTCCAGGTGCCCCACGCTGTGATCAGAGCTGGGACTGCACGAACTGGCACACACAAACTAGCTCACTCCTAACATCTGTGAGGAAGCTCAGTAACAGGCTTTAGACTTACTCAGCCAGCACTAAAGCCCAGTCGCTGAATCCTGACAGCTGCTGTTTTACAGAACACCAATGCTAAAGTCAGCTCGTATTCATGGAATTGTACTGCAATCTCACCTCTCACCTGCAGGGCAGACATACCCTTTTCTCCAGGCTCTGGATCAAGGTGTCATCACGGAATTAAAAAGCAGGACAGAAGCAGCTAACTCATCCAAGCAAATCCCCACCCAGCTCCTGGCTGTCAGGTTCTCCAGGGCTATATGGCTGTCATTATTTGTCACTAATGGCAGCAGCACTTTAACATGTAGTGACCCAGCTGAGTTAGTAGAAATAAAACTCTAAGATAACATCTATTAAAATCCCCTAACATCACTTGTCAAAGGACTGTAAAGTCCCATGGAAGAATTACTCGTTCTTCAGGGTTAAGTGAGAATCACCTCACACTTACAGATAGAAAAACTGCTATCTGACAAGCCCAGTAACCCAGCCTTCCCCATCCCACAGACTTCCACACTGGAAGCAAGAAGGAGTTCAAGAGTTCCCTGCAGTCCACCGAAGGTTAAGTACTTCCAGACAGTAAAATGCCTGGGGGCCAGCCACAGACTCATCTGCTGAGCACATCGGGGTGACGCAGCTCTCGGGAGCACCTGCAGCCACAGAATATGGTGTGAGCCTCTGCAGCAAGGACCTACCGCACAATCCAGGAGAGGCAGGCTGAGCAGTACCTATGCCCACAGAGCGTCTGCAGGGCTTTCTTCAGGATGTTATTGCAGTTGCTGCACAGGTACTTCTGATCAGGCACATCTTCACAAATGTTAGTGGGATATCCAAAAGGAAATTCATTTTCATCAGGAGAAGAGCCAGGAACATCCTGTAGGCCTCTGGTTGTTTTCTCACCCATCTGAGGTAAACTATTGTCAGAGATAAGGAAAAAAGATAGGTGCTCAAACAAGCAGACACATGCTCGCTTTGATGTGAGAGAATATATCAGGCATTGAAGCCCACGAGCAGCCCCAAACCTGTGCAGTAATCCAGTGATCTGTTTAATTGAGTCTGTAGCTAACACGTGTGACTAAATGTCACAGTGGGGCTTGACTAGGTACCAGCAGGAAATTACAGTACAGATCTAAAATTTCCCTTAAACACAATATGGAAACGGACAATATATCAAAACGAAGGGCTGGGGATTTCTTTCCAGAGTTTTTTAGCCTGTAGAAAGATGAAGTAAATATTGCTATGTTTTTAAAGCTACAATCCCATCGGTCCATATCACACAGAATTATTTCTCGTAGAGTAAATCCCCAACCACCTTCAATTCCCAGCAGCCAAGATTCGTGATTACACTTCATAGAGGCAGAAACTGAGCCACCGATGTGTTTACAGTGACTTTCATGAAGTCATAAAACTAGTGGCAAAATTAAAATCTCAAGTCCACAAGTCACTTAATGCTTGTGCTCTTACCAGATACACCCTGAGCCACACATGCCAAGCTGTTGTGTGTGTTCAGCATCGGTTTAGGTTAACAAGAGCTGTTTAGTTGAAGTATTTTTGGAAATGCAACCAAAACTCATTCTGGGGTTTCTTCAGTCACTTGGAACATTCAAGAAAGGTTTTTACCCAGGGACCTGGTGCATTTTGAGCATAATGCCTTTATAAATCTATTTTCTTCCCATAATGGTACTGACACACAATAACCTATCTCCGTATTATCAGAAGTAACACTGACTAAGAAGCGTCTGAAAAAAATGAAGCAAGCCTGCCTAGGCCAGGACAAGCACAGAAAGCGCGGTGCGACCGCTGTGCAGTGGATAGGGCATGCCCTGGATTTAAAAAGCTTTTCTTTGACCGAACAGCATTTTCTCTTGCTTGGCTTAGGCAATTCCCTTGGCCTCTTCAGGCGTTTGATGAGGAGCTTAGCAACAAACACAGGGGCTGCCCAGTCTGCCAAGAGCCATAAATTAACCCCGGCGATGGTAAATGTGCCCCTGCAAGCCAGCGAGGCGGTGTCGGGGGCCTGGTGGGTTGGTAGCCGGGGGAGGACGAGCGCCCACGGCCTCTGCAGAGCGCTGGCTGTGCCAACAGAGCCCCTGGGAGCCGGGGGGCTGGAAGCCCACCCTCGCGGGGGGTTTATATCGGTAACGCCCGGTAAAACGGCAGCCCTAGGGCAGGGAGTGGCTCCCCCTCCATCCCCATCCCCGGCTCAGCAGCGCGGGCGGCCGGCGACTTCGCAGGCAGCAGCGGGGGAGGCCGGGATGCCCGGGGCAGGCTCGGGGGCCGGGCAGGTTCCCCTC